CGTGGGTGGATATAAGAACAGAGTAGTTAAATAGAGAATCTACAAGTGGGTTCTAGGTATGGCAGCTAGTGTAGAACCTTTGGATGAACTACTTAAATTAGACAATGACTAAAGTTGTACAAGTGGCTAGTTGTACACTCTTTCCATGGTTGCCCTCTGTAGTTGTAATGCAACTATTAGCTGAATGTACTATTAATAAAATCCTGGATCACAAGTACTTACCTTAATATTAAAAAAAAAAAAAATTATTTCAAAGGTTATTTACTATTTAATAAACAAAGATCCATCTGAATCATGTAAACATAATCATCTTTTTGTTCACCTATTGGTAAAAATCCTGATACTCATGTTAAACATGATTCAATATCCCAATATAATATAAACAATTTAGGTTATTCTGTTGAATTGATCTTTTCTATTTAGTTAAATGTAATATTCATATCATTTACTAATTTTAATTCATCTAATATTAATTTATACTATCCAACTAATTCAAAATTGTTTTCATGTGCTACTTTTTGATAATAATATGTATTATCATCTAAATATATATCATATCATAACTAAAATATATCTAATAATTTATTAAATTCTACTTCACTTCTTCATGTTCTCTAGAAAATTTTATATGTTTTTCTTCATCATCTTTTTTTTTTACCTAGTTTTATCAATTTTATATTTTTTAATTTTTCTTCTAAATCTTCTTGTTAAGATTTAATCTTATCAAGTACTTTTTTTCATTTATTATAGTTTGTAAAATAAAATCTAATAAATTTAAATTTTTCAGTAGAATTAAATAGTTGTTTGTAAATAATTTTATAACTTTGAAGTTTAAATTCATTAGTATATGATAAAATAGAACTTTCTTGATTTAATTTTATATCAAAGAAAATATCTTGAATTATGACATTGATTAAAAATTTGCAACTATTCAAGCAAACTGTATGTAGTTGTAAAAAATATCCTTTATTATTTAAGTAATCAATTGCATCATAAATAAAAAAAGTGTTTGTGTCAGGTTCAGTAATAAAATCTTCATATTTATTCATTTAGAATAAGTCTTTTAAATTAGATAAAAATAAATAAATTATATAGTTAAAATTCTAACTAGTGTTAAGCACTAGTTAGAAATAGTTTTATTTAATAATTTGTTAAATTTAAGTTCTAAAATAATTTCGATTTCTAAATTCTGCATGTTTTTTAAATTTAACAATACAGAATTTTGATTTGCAAATTAATTTTTTCTGTAAATAATTTTTCATCATTATTATAACTTAAAGGTTTAAATTTTCCTTCCATTCATTAACTTGATAATTTGTAATAAAAAAAATGATCTTTTGATAAAAATTATTAAAAGTCTGATAAAAATCGAGATCCCAAGTCTTTTGAACAAATGCTTTAATAACTAACACAGAAGAATCATGTTTATTATTCAATTTAAAATCAGATTGTTCTTTAATTGTAATGAAATTATGACCAAATATCTTATCAATTGAATTAAATATCTGTTCTATATCTTCAATTAAAATAAATATTAGATATTTATCATTATTTTTCTTTGTGTAATTATTTTTATATAGTTTTAACTAATCAAGATAATTAAAAGTATGTAGAAAGTTTATCTTGAAATATTGTTCAACTTTATCAGTTTCATTTCGATTTAACCATTCATTTAATTTTTTTTCATAGCTTTGTCATGTTAAGACTATATAATGAAAGAAAAGTTTCATATGAATACTTTAAACAAAATTTAGATTCTAAAAGTTTTAATTTCTTTTTTGATAAATACATTTTAAATTACATATAAAAAAATTTAATTGGTACAATGTACTAATTAAAATAAATAATATTTTTCTTTTACTTGTTGTTTAGAAATATTTTTAAATAACATATAAGCCTTTTCTTTATCTTGTTTAACACCTCTTTCTATTTTATAACAAAACGCTACTTTATTTGTTTCTCTCAAATATCCTAAATTTGCAGATTTTTGATAATATTCAAATTCTTGAACTTCATTTTTCTGAACAATACTATCTTCTCCAAATGTATAAAATTCTCCAAGTTTATAAAATCCTTTAGCATATCCTAATTCAGCTGATTTTTTATAATAAAAAAAAGCTAATTCTCTATTTTCCATAACACCTTCTCCATAATCATAAGATATTCCAGTTAAAAAAGTAGCTTTAGGATGTTTTAATTCAACAGCTTTTTTAAATAAAACACTGCTTTCTTAATGTTATTATCAACTCCTAATCCAAATCTATAACAATATCCTGTTTTAAATATTCTTTCAGCATTTTTCAAATCAGCTGCTTTATTATAATACCTAAATGCAGTGAATTTATTTTTTTCAAATTTTGCAAGAAAAATTAAAGCTTTAGAATTTACTTGATTGTTTAAACAATAATCAATGACTTTTTTAAAATCATGATTATTTTTTTTAAATAATCTTTTAATGTTTTAGTAGTTGATTCTTTATAGATCAAATCATATAATTCATTAATGATTTCATCTATCTTTATATATAAAAAAATCTATCTGGTCTTTTAGACTAAATAGTAATAAAATATTGATTTTTTATTTAAATTTAATTGATATACTAATGAATTTAATAATGATAATGATAGTGATATCATATTTCTATCTTTAATATAATTATTTTTAACATTATTATTAAAAAATTCATCACATAAAAAACAAACACTATGCTTATGTGAAACATATTTTTTATCATAAACATAAAATACTCTATTATCAACTCCTTCACGTACAGGACAAGAAAAAGTTTGACAATCAAAATTTTGTGTAAGTATATATTCTTTTTTAGCACAATAAGACAGAAGTGTACAAGTTCACATATAGTTTTTGCAAAAAATGGAATTTCAAATGATTCTATTAAATGAAATCGAGAATTTTTGAATATACTTAATTCAAATTCATCATTATTAAAACATAAATAAATTATATTATTTTCATATCTTGTATAGAAAGGTATTTTAGTTAGATGTTTATATGTAGAAAAATCTTTGCATACTAAACAATATTTTATTCCATGTGTTTTATGAATTATTAAACAAATATTTAGCCATAAATGACAAACATATTTTAGTCGATAATAACTTATTTCATTTATAAAAATCTTTTGAGGTAAGCAAAAAGAAAATATTGATATAAGAATCTCATTAGGAACAAAAATCATTGTAATAAAGATTATATATAAAAATATCCATCTGGTTAAATAAACTAGATAGAATAATTATTTATTATCAATATTAATCTTTAATGGTTTAATAACTAAAAGTCTTGGTATTAAACCAAAATAAAAACTCTTAAATATTTTTGTAAAATGTTTACATTTTTCTTTGTCATATACTGAATTTACTAAAAATTTTAATCGATATGATAATAAAGAATAATATAAAAACTTTGTTTCATTATTTTGGTATTTGATTATATTCTTTCTTACATTAGTTTGAATATATAATAATTCTTTAATATCTTCTTCTTTAATTAAATCTGAATATGACATTTTTTAAATTATATATAAAAAAATCTATCTGGTCATATTGACTTGATAGATTAATATAAATGATAAAATTAAATAAAATATAAAATAATATAAATAAAATTTAAATATAGAATACTTTTCTATAATATTTTAGTAATAAATAAGTCTAATTGAGAATCCATATTTGCCAATAATAAAAAATATTCGGTTTATTAAACTGAATATTTAATAATAAAAATTATAATAATTGATTAAAAAAAAGATCATAAGATTTACGATCGCATTTCTTTTGACATGGTTTGAAATCAATACAATCTTTACATAAAACAATCTTATTATCGAACTTAATATGTTCTGGATAAATAGTATCAATACTAGTTTCATATAAAGTATAAATTTGTTTTAAATATTCATTTGAACATGTTTCACCAAGTCTACCTCGTTTCTTTTTACGTCTAGTTGTTATTCTAAGAGGTGGATCTACATAAACAATCTTATAAAATTCAAGATGATCAGTTTCAATAACTTTCTTATTCACATATTCTCGTTCATCCTCATTTTTAACAAAATTGTTAAATATATTCACATCTCTGATAGTATGATCTTTAATAATATAATCATAATTTATTAAAGTTTTAATATGTAATGCTCTTTCTTTATAGAGATTAATAACCACATATTGAAAAAACAAAAAGTTTTGAGTTTTGTAAAACAATTCAAGTTCCTCAGAAACTTCAAGTGAAGCTTCAATAAATTGATAAACTGAAAATCCTTTTTGTTTCAAATAATCTTCAAATAATTTCGCACATGTAGTCTTTTCTGCTCCAATGGTTCCTATGAATACAATAATTTTTGTAATCTTCTTTGATATTAGAATAATATAACAAAGAATAAATATTAAAAAAAATAAAATCAAAGCCACAATAACTTTAATTAAAAATAATTGAATCATTTTTATTTTACATATAAAAAAATCTATTCGGTTATAAACTGAATAGATAATTTAATTATTATAAATAAAATATTATTAAACTCCTATTTATTAATTTGAAAAACTTCATTACTATCCAAACTATAAGTACAATTATTTGCAATATTATCATAATATTTTGGTATATATTTTAAAGATTTATCTTTTGTAATATGAAAATCGTATTCACCAAAAGTTGGATTACAATCATTATTACAATATATTGCTTGATCAATATGATCAAGTTTAATATATGTTGCATAACAATCACTTATTTTTTTATAATCAATTATGAATAGAAAACTATCTGTTGTTTTCTTATATTGTGAATTTCCATTCCAATCAAATGGATTATATCCACCTATAAGAAGAGTTGTATTTTTAATTTTAGTTACTACGATAGTTGGACCTTGATTATCACATTTAGTATGAAATAATTTAGGTGTCCATCCATCTAAATGACTATTATATAACAAGGTAAATTTATATTTAAATTCTTTCGAATCTTCATCTTTTGTTTTATCTATTAATTTTGTTAAGATTAAAGCAATCTCATATTCAATCAAATCTGATTTGATTGTAAAATTTCCCAATCTGATAAATGATATATCATACTTTGGTTTCGTGTTGTATCTAAAAAGTAATTTATTATATCTTTAAATAAATCTTCAGATAAAAGATTCTTATGATTCCATACTTCATTCATAAATTCATTAGGAATAAACTGATAAAATCTAATATAATTGATTAATTCAATTAAACTTTCTTCTGAATGATTTTTACTCCATTTAATTAAATATTTCCAAATTTCATTCTTTTTCATATCAAGATCATCATGTTGAATAACTAATTTTAAAAGATCTTTCTCCAAATCAAGAAATTCATCATGATTAAATAAAACTTTTGGTTTTTCACAAATAGTTTCGAATATACTTTTTTTAAGTTTTGTAAACATTGACTTATTACTGATAAAATTCAATATTTTACATGATTGCGTTTCTAAAAAATCACTACCAATTAAACAGTCTTGTATAAAATCAATAAGTTCTTCAATTAACAACTCATTAACAGCAACTAAGAGTTTCAAAATCGTATCAATATCTAAATCGTTTAATTCGATAATTCCACAATATAGATATTTGAGAATAATATTGAATATTAATGTACTAATATAAGGTTGTGATAAGACAAAAAATTGATTTTCTTTTTTAGCCCAATTTTTTGATAAAGCATTTTGAAAAT